TACCAACACTGGAACACCCAGGTTTCTAGATCTCAAGACAGAGACAAACTGCGACACACTGTTGGAGGTTTCGTCACCCCACTGTCACTATGGGGTAGGTAGGGCATCTAGACAGAAAATAAACAGAGACATGGTAGCTAAATGATAGCATAAACCAAATATGTCCAACAGACATTTACAATTCACCCAACGACTACTAAATACACATTTTTTTCTTTCTCACATGGAATATTTTCAAGAACTGGCCACATAGGGCCCAGTCAGTATGGTGGTTAAGGCGCTGGACTCCCACATGGCTGACCACAGTTTGAGTCCCAGACCTGGTGGCTTGAAAATCACACCAGGCATACACGTGCATACACAAAGTCCCGGGGGTGGGGGAGAGAATGGAGAAGGGATTGTTGTGTGCCCAACCTCCCGGGGGGGATTTCTCACCCCCCCCCCGCACTGTCCCTCTGTCTCTCCAGCAAGCCCATGTGCTCTATTGCAAAACAAGACGACAAAAGACGGACCACATAATGGGATATATGACACGTCTTTACCAATATAAAAGTATAGAAAGGATAGCTAGCATAGTCTTCAACCGTGATGGAGTGAGGCTTGAAATCAGCAATAGAAAGACCTTTCAACGTGCACAGATAGAAGGAAAGCAAACAAGTTACCCCTGAACAATTTCAAAACTATTGAAGAAATTAAGAATGAAATTTAAAAATTCCTTGAGACAAATGACAAAGGAAACAGTGTCCCACAATCTGTGGGGCCCAGTGAATACAGTCCTAAGAGCGAAGTTTATAGCAATTAGTGCCCACAAGAAAAAAAAGGAGACGATAAATAAGCTAATAATGCATCTCAAGGAACTGGAAAAGCACGATAAAACCCAAATAGCATGAGAAGAAAAACATAGTAAAGATTAGAGCAGCAATGAGTGAAGTAGAGAACAAAAAAATCATTCCTTAAATGACATATTCATAGCCTTATTCCTTGTTCAGCCTTGCCAGCTTTGTTTATTTAATTAGTTATTTTCAAAACCAGTCGGTTTTGCTGATAATTGCTATGTTTTTTGGTAGTCTTTCTAACTAACTCTTGCCTCTATCTTTAAAGGTATCTTTCTCCTGCTTTCATTGGATTTATCTTGCCATATTATTCAAGCTATCCTAATCCTTATTTATTTCTACCCTAGGTAATACATCGGAGACTAACAGAAGTATATTAAAATCTTCCATGATGACTGTAACTTTATTAAAAATTTTTACATCTCTAGCAGTTTGTATTTAATTTATTCATGCTACGTTATTTGGCACATAAAGTTTTTACTGTGGATTGACTGTACATTTTATTAATATAAAAGAATCTCCTCTTTCATTTCCTTATGAGATGTCAGAGAAGTTCTCAAATTTATCTTACAATAAACTGACTTTCATTTTCTGCGGTTCACCATCTTCCGTTCACTGCTTCCATTCCAGGTTTTAATTGGGTGATCATGTTTTTATCTCTTTTCAATCTTTCCTCATTTCAGAGTGCTCTGTTTTCATTATTGCCTATTTTTATGTCGTAAATACAATATTCTCTCAAATCCTGTGAAGAATACAAACGAGCATTTAAAGTATTTCTCTCTTCTTTGTTGCTAACAGGGGGTCAAAGAGCCCTGACTTCAGACAGATCTCTTTCTTTGTATCTACTGAATATTCACACACCCTCAGGCAGTATTCTGGTTGGCTGCCATTATGGAGGGAGAATGGAAACTCCCGTGGTATCTAAGGGGAACCAGAAGAGCTCAGTCAAAAAAGGCCCCAGCAGAAGCATTTCCTACCCCTAAAGAGTGAGTGTGTGTGTGTGTGTGTGTGTGTGCACGCGTGTGCATGCATGATTGCGGCAGCCTCGTCTCTGATACGTGTACCACTCTGGCATGACCCGGCTTTACCTGGCTTGCCAACAGAAGCTAAATGAAGGCCAGAATGTCCCATCAAGGGGAACCGCAGCTCTGTGTGGTCTCCCGGCGTGGTCTCCCAGACTGAGAGCTGGTCCCTGCCGATCGCCTGTGGTGTGGCAGTGGCCCTAGGCTCTGCAGTTCCTAGCTGTCATGAGACAGTTCTCCTTACGGTGTCTGGTACTTGCCCCACAGGCAGGATTTCCCTGCGCTGATGTGAATTCTGTGGATAGCTGGATTAGGTTCTTTCTCAGTCTGGTTTCCTTCTTAGGTATTCTGTTTAGCAGAAATCCCTCCAAGTTGTGTGTGAAGGGCACTGTGGTTAATTCCCGGGGCTGGGACCCCATTCTCCTGTCCTCTGGGCCCGTTAGCCATTCTAACAGGAATCTGTGGAGGCCATAGTTACATGCATGGCCTTCATTCATCGTCCTGACCTGGAAGCTGCTTTCTGTGCTCTCACATGAGAGGCCCTTCCTATCCTGCTTGACGGGTAGCAGCAAGGATGAAAATGAAAGGAGCTGGGCAGATCTGGGAGACGCGCTGGATGTGGCAGGGGAGGGCTACTTAAGACATCTGCAGTCATTGAGGGTAAGGAAGAGACCCAGGGTCACAAATGCGAGAAAATGGGACATTCACAGACCAGAAAGGCAGAACCATAGAGGTGTGGAGGGCGGGTCAGATGCTCAGAGCCCTGTCTTGGGAGGTAAGCCAGTTTGGTGGACACCCCAGGTTTCCCCAGGGGTACATCAGGATTTCTTTGGAGGGACAGGTGTTAGGAACGTGCTTGCGTTCTGGCAGCTGGGCCAGTGACACCTGGGCAAGAGAGAGTTCTCGGAGCGCTGGTTCTGGTGCGTGCATAGCCCTGTACAGAGTAGGCCAGAGTGACAGGCTTAAACAGCAGGGCTGCTGCTGCTCACTGGCTGCAGGGCACTTCGAATCCCACTCGGGAAATCAGAACGAGGAGCTCCTTTTAATTCTGGAATGTTTCTGGTAACTATGTGTCCCCTGGGTTCTCCTTCGGGAAGGCAGGCCCTGAGGAGCAGAGCTGGATCCAGAAGGCGATGTGCAACACCGTCCCAGTCTCCCTGTGGACCCTGCCCTGCCTCCTTGGGGGTCTCATTCTAGAAGTTCTAGTGGTCACTTGGTTCCTTGAATGGCCTCCCAGTCACATCAGAAGCCACAGCCCAGCCATCTGAGGAGCACAGAACGAGGCCTAGACACAGGAGGAGGATGGACTTTGTTGAGAAATTCAGGCCTGATATTAGAAGGTTGGGTAGCAGGGCCTGCAGGGCAGATGGCTTCAGAGGTCAGGGAAGGGCCTCCCTAGGAAACACAAGTGTGCAGGACTCTTGTATCCTGTGTGAGCCCTCTAAGACCTCTGACCTGTGACCTCCAGTCATGCCCCATGTCCCTCCTTTCTTCCCTAAGTCCCCTACCTAGCTGCTCCCCAGGGCCAGAGGCCAGAACCCTGAGAGTGCAGCTGAGCACGCATGCTTGCTGACTGTCCACACGTGGCTCTGAATCAGGGCCCCTCGAGTTAGGAGGCTCGGGCACAGCCTGTGCAACCCAGGAGGCATTTCCGCCACCCTGGCCGGCCACACGCACAGAGCCACTGCTCGTCCTGCCTTCAGAGCGGGACGACTGCAACCTCTGCCTCAGAACTGCCGCCGGCTGCCACAGCCTCCCTCCGAGAAGGCCTCTGCCCTCTCCGCTCACCACATCCACCTGCCTCACTGCAGAGGAGGCCCGCTGCCCCTGCTGTCCTGGCTGCACCCTCCGAGGCTCTGCTATTGATGATGAAGGCGGGATGGGAGAGGAGTGACAGCACGGCTCATTCCTGAAGACACGGCTCTCAGAAGAGCGGGAAGCCCTTGTGCTCTCTCGTTGGGAGACACGCACTACTGTTATGTGGTACTGAAAAGGAGAGCTTGAGCAGCCAACGGCAGCTCCCCAACCCTACGGGATAGTTCTACCCTGTTCCTGCACATGCAGTCCCACCCAGTCACCACACGGTGCATCCTCTTGAGTTCAGAATGAATTAGGAAGGAGTAAGAAATGCCTTTCACACACACACCTGAGCGAGCGTATGGGGGTGGGTGGAGAAGCATCCGTACATGAAGAAAAGGCTGGCACACCCACTAGAGCTAGACAGAACCCTAAAGGTGGGACTTACGTGGTATCTCGTGCTTCACGTTTTTTGAATGTCAGAACTTCTCTGGTTAGAGGGAATAAAACTACATTGGAATAAGCTAAAAGAGTTCTTTGGCCCAGGATGAAAATGGGTTCCCTTTAATCTATTCTGTTAGGGCAGTTCTTTAAAAACTTCTCTGACGTCCACTGTGATCACAAACACACGCTCGTTATTGCAGATGAGCACAAAGACCAGAAACGCGTGCTCGGTGTCTCACGAACGTCCTCTCTGTAACCCTCTCTCCAAGTCCCATCATGTCCTTCTCTTACTATCTCTTGAACTCACTTTAACACCCCCGTTCCACGTGGGCCACCACCATGGCGTGCTGAAGCTGCTGTAATGAAGGTAGTCTTCTAGTCTACAGAGACATGCGCTTGAAACATACGCACGTGCACGCACACGGAGGCACGGGCACAAGTATGCACAGACACAGACCCTCGAGACCAAGGAGACGTACAGGCAAGGGTTCACACAGGCGTAGAAATGTATGTGTCAAAGTATGTCTGCCAATACATAGCTACAGAGTGCACACGTGTGTGTACACACACGCACTCCTCATCATCCACATGGATGGCCGGGGCCCACAATGGGAAACCTAACCCTCTGATCCGCTGGCTGCTCCAACTGAGCTATACTCTTATCACCTGGGCAGCCCACGCTCGGTCACGCACGTACCTGACAGCGGACAACTCCTAAGCCGGCCTCGTTGACACATACCCCTCTCTTTTTGGTCCCCACTTTCTCCCAGGTGAGTGGGGATGCTGTCCGGGCACTCAGGAGGCAAGGAGGGAGTTTGGACCACTTACACAGAGATAACGGAGTGAGTCCTGACCACTGTGCAGACTGTGGCTCTATTTGGACTGCGAAATCTATCAATCTTACCTTGAGGACATCCCCTTCAGAGAGCTCGAACACCAGGGCTTTAAGCTGAATGCCCTTTCCCGGCTGGGTCTGGATGGAGTAGATGCATTCGTGGTTGTTATTGTAGTTCACAGGAAAGTTGGGGGACAGCAAAGTACCCTGAGTGCCCGTGACTGAGTTCCCACACTCAGCTGGAAAGAGAATCACAATAACCACAGGTCAATCCCATCAGCCCCGTCTGGAGAACAGCTCACAGTTGCAGAGAACCTTAGAGATGGCCAGTTGTTGGCCCGCCTACCTGCCGGACACTCACTACTGCCCCTCTGTCCCCGTCACTGAGACTGCCTGGCTACCCACAGCCCTAACTGGTCTCTCGTCCTGGGTGTCTATCTTCTACGGAAATAGAAACTAACCCACCAGGCATGCTCTACTCCAGAGCACTGTAGAGCAGCCATCCCGCACACCTGTTCAGAGTGCCATAGCAACGGAAGTGACCGAGCTGCATGAGGGAGGGTTTCCAAGGGAGCAGAGATGAGCCTTTCAGTGCTGCAGGATGGAAACCAAGGGGGCGGGATGGGCTAATAATCACTAACCTAATGTGTAAACCACCAAGGCAGCACTTTACAAGGGTCACTGCAGTTACCAGTTACGACAACCAACTCCTAAGTCTGGCGCGATCGTCTGGGTTAAAGGTAAGGAAGCTGGCACTCAGCCAGCTCAGTCCTTGGTCTCCAGATGCACGGAGAGGAGGGGCCGAGGACTCTCCCTCCTTGGCCCTGGGGTGTTGGCCCCTGAGGCTCTGCTTGCAGTGTTGGCAGGACCCCCTCAAAAACACTTCCATTCAACTGCTGATGAAAGCACACCCTCCGGAAATCTGCTCTCCTCCGAATTAGTCACTCTGCCCGCGTCGTCCTCACACCGTTATTTATAGCAGCCATCACATTGTACCCGACGTATCTGTCAACACGCCTGCTTTTCCCGCCGCTCTGTGGGTCCTTCGGGGCGGGTCATATCACTGCATCCTCAACACCCACGCAGAGCCGGGCAGGGCAGCTCGGTGGCAGGGCCGGCTCTGGGATCTGCCACGTTGGCGAGGTCCCTGTCTGTGCTTCCGAGTCAGAACACCCGCCGTCCCACACCCCGATTCTTGCCACTTGCTTCCACCCCCACCCACACTGTGCTACACACGGGCTGGGGTCATGCTCCAGGAATCTATGCATTTCCAAGGCTTGCCCATGTCTCCTGGAAAGTAAATATTTGCCATCTGAATGAATGAGTGAATGCAGCCTACGCTAACCTCAGAAGATGTACAGTATTAAAAAGAATGAGGCTCTGGAAAACTGTGAGCACGAGTCCAGATGGGAGGCCCCTTATCTGACACACAGGGAGCTTGGGGCCTTCTTACCTCTGAGGCTGAGGCGCGTGTCTGTCTCTCCGACCCGCCCCTCAGTGCCTTTTTCCAAGCACAGTCGTTGGCTGGAAGGAAGCTGTGGTCAGCCAAGGGGTCTCTGCCTTGACCACAGGGTCCTAAGCTGGGAGCGCGCTGGGCCAGGCAGCATGGATGGGGCACACGGAAACGCTCGGAGCCGAAGCTCACAGGGCTTAGTTACGTAATAACCTGCCCGCTTGTCCCCAAGGCTGCTCCTTAGTCCTCTGGAGACGGGGACCATATCGCACCAAGTCCCTTCCTGCTTTTGGCTCCACTCTCAGGGTCCTGCCCGGTTCAGGACCATCCGCAGTTCCTCAGCCCTCATGTGTTAACTTCGAGGGAGAGATCTAGCTTCAAACTCGGCCTGCCTGCCAGGGACCAAACACTGATGAGTGCGGTGAGCTGGGGCAGAGAGCCAAGGGACAGTGTGGCCAGGGGCCCTCAGCTGAGCTGTGGACGCGGGAGGGCTGCTCAGGGCTGTGCACACAAAGCATTTGTCACTTGGTCAGATCTCACAGCGGCCCTCTGAAGCACCGCCCATCACTCAGGGCCCGGCACGGTGCAGGGCGAGCGCGGACTTTGGAGTCAGACAAGTTTGATCAACGCTCTGAACCTCAGTCTCTTCTGGAATCACAGCACCCTCCCAAGACCCCCAAGACCCAGGAACGTGTGCAATTTTATGTGTAAAATAGTAAACATGGAGAGCAGCTAGCATGGAGTAGGCCCCCAACCAGTCTTATTCCTCCTGCTCTCCTTATCGACCCCAGGGGGCTCTAGGTGGCTTACCTGCTTCCACTAGGAGCCCTAACTGCACTCATTCTAGGACTGGCAGGAAGTCCGAGAAGCTCATGGGAAGCCTGGCTGAGCTGTCTGAGGTCCACAGGACCCTCACCGTCCTGATAGCCTGACCGTCCACCTGGTCCCAATGCTGGGCTATCTCTAGACCTTCCCAGCCCTAGCTTCCTGCATCACAGTTGCCTGCCCACCTGGGCCCTGGCACGACCTTCTCATCATTGCCCCTGAAAGCACTCTGATGAGGAGGGAAACGGGGCCAATGGCTTCAGACGTGGCGGGCCCCTGGCCCATCGCCGGGTCTTAACGCCCTGCCAGCCTTTGTCCTGGGTACCAGGGAGGGCGCGGGAGGGCAGAAAGACACGGCTCTTGCTTCTGGGAGAGTTTCCAGAGTAACAGAGGAGGCAGGGCAGATGCACCGAGACGCCAAACACAGCCATACATGGAAATAAATAAACGTTCCAGAAAAACAGTCTGCCGTGTGCACTGGGAGGCGCCGCCCCCATCAGAAGAGGTCTTGTTGCAGATGGAGGCTGTGTCACACCCATCAGTCTCGGGCTCCCGAGGACAGGGCTGTGTCACCTCCATCACACCGTGAATTAAGAGCCTGGGGCTGCTCATCCCTGGTGAGACTGTGTGGGCTACATCATTCCATCTACACCTTGGTGCTCGGGCTTGGGGCCTGGGAGCATCCCCTGGGGGTCCCCAGCCTGAGCCTGTGCGGGCTGGTGGTAATTAGAGGTGATTATAATTACTGTGCGTTATTAATAACATGTAAAACGGAAGACGAACGCAATAATGAAAATATTGTGAGGTGTCATGAACGAACAGTAATTGGAATAATAAGTGAAGGAGTGAGCGTGTGTGATGAGACCAACGAGGCGAGAGCCGGCGCACATGCCGCCTGCGGTCCGAGAGCCCGCTCAGCAATCGCGCCCTCCAGCACCGCTCGGCGGGGGCCTTTCCCAAGGACCACAGGAGCTCCCAGGTACAGCCAAGCCTCTCCAGGTGAGCTCCATGTGCCTCTGGGTGCGTGGGTCCACGCCAGGCGATGAATGCTTTGGGGGACGCGTACAGGGAGAAGGATGAACTTGGTGCTGTTTAACTGGTCAGAAATGGGATTCTGTGCCTCTGTCTCCATGTTTGCCCTCTGAGATCGGAAAAGGTGTTGGCAAAACAATGCTCATTGGCTCTCCATAAGTAACGACCAAAGGTTATTGGCAGGGTGACTGTAATGCCACGGCACCTCCTGGCATCTGAAAGTAAGGCCTCTGATCTCAGATGGAGCCTGTGGGTTGGATGTTGTTATCTCTGCTTTAAAAATGACCAAGTGGACGGTGGTGGGGGCAGGGCCCCTGGTGTGCCCAAGACCAGAGGCTCGCCCTTGGGCCCATGTGACCGACTGCCCCCGGCCCAGGCCCAGCCCATCACCAGCCTGTGAAGCTGCCTCTGTAGGGGCCAGGGCTCCGTGGAGCTGCCTCAGGCAGGCTGGCCTCCTGGGTTTGGAAATGCAGTCCCTGCCTTCAGTGCAGTGCAGTGCGGTGGGCATTTAACTCCTCATGCGGGTACGGACCCGCATGCAAGGTTTCACTGGGGTCAAGGCTACCAGTGAGGGCTCCACAAAAAGTGGGGTCCACCCAGCCAGGGTCCACCCAGCCCTGCATGGCGAGATCTAGCCTTTCAAACCAGGGCCGGCTCGCAACCGCCCAGGCTCCCCGGCTGTCGTGTTGTGTCCTCCACCTTCTGGGCCTGGACTTCTAAACAGCCATCTTTAGGGCTGTTGGCAGGAGGCAGGCAGGGCCAGTTCCAGCCCCGAACTGCCCCCTTTCTAACCTCAACAGCCCTGTTTTCCTCCAGACTGGCCTCTGAGCTGTTCCTCCAACACCGAGTACCCTCGGGGCTTGGCCTTGGCACTCCGTGCCCTCTCCTTCCAGGTAGCTGAGTGGCTGCCCCTTGAATTCCTTAGGATCGTGACTCAAATGGCGGCCCCCCGCAGAGGCCTTTCGTGACTGCTCTCATGTGAAGGAGCGATGGCCCGAGCACCTTCTAAGCTCACTTGATTCTCCTCTGTACCCTTCAACACTGCCTGTGCATTACACACTGAGGTGTTCGTGGCTGTGTCCCCCAGCAGGACGTGGGAGACAGTTTCCGTTTTGTTGGCTGTGTATCTTCAGGGCCTGAAAGTGTGCCCAGCACGTCCAGGTACTCTGCACAGGCCCAGCTCTGGCTTCTCTCCCCTCCGGCAGGAAGGACGGCTCTCCTGGGGCTTCTCCGGGAGAGTGCCCGTCAGTGGCCATAGCACCCCTACTCTACAGGCCGTGCCTCCCTGGGGACAGTCACATCTCCCTCCTCAGGCTCTCTGTGGGGCACCCTGAAGCCACAGCCCTGTGTTCGGGTTGCAGGTGAGTGCTTCAATTTCACGGTGTGGCCGCTGAAGACCCCCCTTGCAAAGGTCAGCTTGGTCTACAGGACAGCCCTGCCATCCCTGTTTTACTGACAAGGAGGCTGGAGCAGGAGGAGGCCGGGCCACCTGGCCGAGCTCCCACAACGCTCGGAGTGGCCGGTCAGTCCCCAGAGCCAGGCCTATTTGCCTCTTGGTCCTGCACACGCCACCAGGAGACTCTAGGTTGGCCCACCCCATTAGTGAAGCAAAATGAAAGCACGTGACCACCTACCCACACACCTTGGCAGAGGCGAGCTCCACAGACGCCGTCTGCCCCCCAGGCACGTGACGCGGGCGGCGCCCTCCAGACGGTACCCGGGGAAGCAGGAGAAGGTCAAGGTGTCGCCCACGCCAAACTGCAAGCCCTTCCGGATGCTGTAGGCCGGGACCTCGGGCTCCTCGCAGGGCTCCAAGTCGTACTCTGGAGAGGGAGCAGGAGAGCCGGGCTCAGAGACCCTCAGGGAGAGAGCAGAGGGCACACGCGCCCAGACGCCAGGAGGACAGAGGCCAGAGATGGAGGGAGACACGGGGTGTGCCAGGCTGGCCCACGAGGAGAGGCAGAGCGAGAGCCTATGAGGAGCAGAGGCAGAGCGCGCGGCAGCTGGGCAGGGAGGACGGAGCAGAGGCAGAGCGCGCGGCAGCTGGGCGGGGAGGACGGAGCAGAGGCAGAGCGCGCGGCAGCTGGGCGGGGAGGACGGAGCAGAGGCAGAGCGCGCGGCAGCTGGGCGGGGAGGACGGAGCAGAGGCAGAGCGCGCGGCAGCTGGGCGGGGAGGACGGAGCAGAGGCAGAGCGCGCGGCAGCTGGGCGGGGAGGACGGAGCAGAGGCAGAGCGCGCGGCAGCTGGGCGGGGAGGACGGAGCAGAGGCAGAGCGCGCGGCAGCTGGGCGGGGAGGACGGAGCAGAGGCAGAGCGCGCGGCAGCTGGGCGGGGAGGACGGAGCAGAGGCAGAGCGCGCGGCAGCTGGGCGGGGAGGACGGAGCAGAGGCAGAGCGCGCGGCAGCTGGGCGGGGAGGACGGAGCAGAGGCAGAGCGCGCGGCAGCTGGGCGGGGAGGACGGAGCAGAGGCAGAGCGCGCGGCAGCTGGGCGGGGAGGACGGAGCAGAGGCAGAGCGCGCGGCAGCTGGGCGGGGAGGACGGAGCAGAGGCAGAGCGCGCGGCAGCTGGGCGGGGAGGACGGAGCAGAGGCAGAGCGCGCGGCAGCTGGGCGGGGAGGACGGAGCAGAGGCAGAGCGCGCGGCAGCTGGGCGGGGAGGACGGAGCAGAGGCAGAGCGCGCGGCAGCTGGGCGGGGAGGACGGAGCAGAGGCAGAGCGCGCGGCAGCTGGGCGGGGAGGACGGAGCAGAGGCAGAGCGCGCGGCAGCTGGGCGGGGAGGACGGAGCAGAGGCAGAGCGCGCGGCAGCTGGGCGGGGAGGACGGAGCAGAGGCAGAGCGCGCGGCAGCTGGGCGGGGAGGACGGAGCAGAGGCAGAGCGCGCGGCAGCTGGGCGGGGAGGACGGAGCAGAGGCAGAGCGCGCGGCAGCTGGGCGGGGAGGACGGAGCAGAGGCAGAGCGCGCGGCAGCTGGGCGGGGAGGACGGAGCAGAGGCAGAGCGCGCGGCAGCTGGGCGGGGAGGACGGAGCAGAGGCAGAGCGCGCGGCAGCTGGGCGGGGAGGACGGAGCAGAGGCAGAGCGCGCGGCAGCTGGGCGGGGAGGACGGAGCAGAGGCAGAGCGCGCGGCAGCTGGGCGGGGAGGACGGAGCAGAGGCAGAGCGCGCGGCAGCTGGGCGGGGAGGACGGAGCAGAGGCAGAGCGCGCGGCAGCTGGGCGGGGAGGACGGAGCAGAGGCAGAGCGCGCGGCAGCTGGGCGGGGAGGACGGAGCAGAGGCAGAGCGCGCGGCAGCTGGGCGGGGAGGACGGAGCAGAGGCAGAGCGCGCGGCAGCTGGGCGGGGAGGACGGAGCAGAGGCAGAGCGCGCGGCAGCTGGGCGGGGAGGACGGAGCAGAGGCAGAGCGCGCGGCAGCTGGGCGGGGAGGACGGAGCAGAGGCAGAGCGCGCGGCAGCTGGGCGGGGAGGACGGAGCAGAGGCAGAGCGCGCGGCAGCTGGGCGGGGAGGACGGAGCAGAGGCAGAGCGCGCGGCAGCTGGGCGGGGAGGACGGAGCAGAGGCAGAGCGCGCGGCAGCTGGGCGGGGAGGACGGAGCAGAGGCAGAGCGCGCGGCAGCTGGGCGGGGAGGACGGAGCAGAGGCAGAGCGCGCGGCAGCTGGGCGGGGAGGACGGAGCAGAGGCAGAGCGCGCGGCAGCTGGGCGGGGAGGACGGAGCAGAGGCAGAGCGCGCGGCAGCTGGGCGGGGAGGACGGAGCAGAGGCAGAGCGCGCGGCAGCTGGGCGGGGAGGACGGAGCAGAGGCAGAGCGCGCGGCAGCTGGGCGGGGAGGACGGAGCAGAGGCAGAGCGCGCGGCAGCTGGGCGGGGAGGACGGAGCAGAGGCAGAGCGCGCGGCAGCTGGGCGGGGAGGACGGAGCAGAGGCAGAGCGCGCGGCAGCTGGGCGGGGAGGACGGAGCAGAGGCAGAGCGCGCGGCAGCTGGGCGGGGAGGACGGAGCAGAGGCAGAGCGCGCGGCAGCTGGGCGGGGAGGACGGAGCAGAGGCAGAGCGCGCGGCAGCTGGGCGGGGAGGACGGAGCAGAGGCAGAGCGCGCGGCAGCTGGGCGGGGAGGACGGAGCAGAGGCAGAGCGCGCGGCAGCTGGGCGGGGAGGACGGAGCAGAGGCAGAGCGCGCGGCAGCTGGGCGGGGAGGACGGAGCAGAGGCAGAGCGCGCGGCAGCTGGGCGGGGAGGACGGAGCAGAGGCAGAGCGCGCGGCAGCTGGGCGGGGAGGACGGAGCAGAGGCAGAGCGCGCGGCAGCTGGGCGGGGAGGACGGAGCAGAGGCAGAGCGCGCGGCAGCTGGGCGGGGAGGACGGAGCAGAGGCAGAGCGCGCGGCAGCTGGGCGGGGAGGACGGAGCAGAGGCAGAGCGCGCGGCAGCTGGGCGGGGAGGACGGAGCAGAGGCAGAGCGCGCGGCAGCTGGGCGGGGAGGACGGAGCAGAGGCAGAGCGCGCGGCAGCTGGGCGGGGAGGACGGAGCAGAGGCAGAGCGCGCGGCAGCTGGGCGGGGAGGACGGAGCAGAGGCAGAGCGCGCGGCAGCTGGGCGGGGAGGACGGAGCAGAGGCAGAGCGCGCGGCAGCTGGGCGGGGAGGACGGAGCAGAGGCAGAGCGCGCGGCAGCTGGGCGGGGAGGACGGAGCAGAGGCAGAGCGCGCGGCAGCTGGGCGGGGAGGACGGAGCAGAGGCAGAGCGCGCGGCAGCTGGGCGGGGAGGACGGAGCAGAGGCAGAGCGCGCGGCAGCTGGGCGGGGAGGACGGAGCAGAGGCAGAGCGCGCGGCAGCTGGGCGGGGAGGACGGAGCAGAGGCAGAGCGCGCGGCAGCTGGGCGGGGAGGACGGAGCAGAGGCAGAGCGCGCGGCAGCTGGGCGGGGAGGACGGAGCAGAGGCAGAGCGCGCGGCAGCTGGGCGGGGAGGACGGAGCAGAGGCAGAGCGCGCGGCAGCTGGGCGGGGAGGACGGAGCAGAGGCAGAGCGCGCGGCAGCTGGGCGGGGAGGACGGAGCAGAGGCAGAGCGCGCGGCAGCTGGGCGGGGAGGACGGAGCAGAGGCAGAGCGCGCGGCAGCTGGGCGGGGAGGACGGAGCAGAGGCAGAGCGCGCGGCAGCTGGGCGGGGAGGACGGAGCAGAGGCAGAGCGCGCGGCAGCTGGGCGGGGAGGACGGAGCAGAGGCAGAGCGCGCGGCAGCTGGGCGGGGAGGACGGAGCAGAGGCAGAGCGCGCGGCAGCTGGGCGGGGAGGACGGAGCAGAGGCAGAGCGCGCGGCAGCTGGGCGGGGAGGACGGAGCAGAGGCAGAGCGCGCGGCAGCTGGGCGGGGAGGACGGAGCAGAGGCAGAGCGCGCGGCAGCTGGGCGGGGAGGACGGAGCAGAGGCAGAGCGCGCGGCAGCTGGGCGGGGAGGACGGAGCAGAGGCAGAGCGCGCGGCAGCTGGGCGGGGAGGACGGAGCAGAGGCAGAGCGCGCGGCAGCTGGGCGGGGAGGACGGAGCAGAGGCAGAGAGTGCGGCAGCTGGGCAGGGAGGACTGGGCAGAGGCAGAGAGCGCGGCAGCTGGGCAGGGAGGACGGAGCTAGAGGCAGAGCGCGCTGCAGCTGGGCAGGGAGGACCGGGCAGAGGCAGAGAGTGCGGCAGCTGGGCGGGGAGGACGGAGCAGAGGCAGAGTGCGCGGCAGCTGGGTGGGGAGGACGGAGCAGAGGCAGAGAGTGCGGCAGCTGGGCAGGGAGGACTGGGCAGAGGCAGAGAGCGCGGCAGCTGGGCAGGGAGGACGGAGCTAGAGGCAGAGCGCGCTGCAGCTGGGCAGGGAGGACCGGGCAGAGGCAGAGAGTGCGGCAGGCGGGGGGGGGGGGCC